AAAGTAACATTACTTGACACACTATAAAAAAATTTAGGTTGATGCTGACTGATTGCTTGAATTTATTCGATGCTTGTTATGCACATACAACCAAAAACGTAAAAATTAATGAGCATCAGGTACCGCCATTAAGAGCAATCATATTTGCAGTGGAATACAGTATGAACCACACTAAAGATATGAACCATATTTACTAACATATTGACCATATGGCATGCTTTTATGATCATGACATTATACTGAGAAAGCAAACATTTTTGAGAAAGCAGACTCACAAAAGCCCTTGTGTACTGGTTCATCAGTGGATTGGAACTAGTAACAACATCTTTTAAAGCAGCAGTCATATAGCCTGGTGCTGCAAAGTCTGGGAACCCCTATGAAAATAAAAGTACAAAACTACAAAATTATATAATTTTAAGAACAACAACAACAATAATAATAATAATAATAATAATAATAATAATAATAATAATAATAATAATAATAATACAGTAATAATAATAATACAGTAATAATATTAATTTTAAAATTAAAATAAGGTTGTCACTGGAGTTGAGTATTGTATTGTGAAAATACAAATTATTATTTTTAAAATTGAATACACTTTACATAGTAGGGCTTAGACATGATTTTAATTTCATTTCACTGATACATTAACTGACATTGAAGGAAACAGGTTATTTATTTTCACATAATAAAATAATTAAAATTAAAATAAAAAATTATGTTGTGTTCTTACCTGGCCTAAATTAAGAGCCTTTGTTTCTGCTGCTAATGCAGAGAACTCAACCCAAACATTCTTATCCAAACCCACAATCCTATTTGCTGGTCCATGTTTCGACATCTTTCGCTGCGAGATTGAAAAACTGGAATTATTTTTGAGCCAGTATTTTGTACACTATAAATCAATAAATAGTCACTATCATAAGTGACAGTGGGTGTAGGTCTAATAGACGGAATCCCTGGGCTCAGTTGAGTGATAGTCATGTGACTTTAACTGGTTATTCACCATAACTATACACCTACAAACATGAATCAAATCAAATAAACCACAAGACAGGGGTGTAAGCTGGTTTTGGCCAGGGTTGGAGGGGGGGGGGGTGAAAAAAAAGAATGCAGAACTAAATTTCGCATGTGGAACTACTTTAAATCCCTATTCCAATGAAAATTTAATGGTCACTTTTAGTATTTCAACCCACTTAGTTGAAACTTAATCCATTGGGTGGGGGTCCACACCCCTCCAGCTTACATCCATGCAAGAAGACACAGCACACTTATGTATTATGAATCCATTGTGCGAATTAGAATTCAGTGTGGTAAATTACAGTCACTCACTGAGATGGTACAAGGTAATTAGACCAGGCTATAATTGAGATAGGTGCCACTTGGAGAGGTAGAAATTCTCATATGGTTTTTC